CACTATTAGCATACCTTAGTTACAATGGGCAAAGCAATAAAGTTGACATGGTTGTTCTCAAGTCAATGCTTAAACAGTATCCTGCAGTTGAAATGAAGACTAAACTGCAAACTTACCATATCCCACATGGGGTAAGTAGCAATTTTGTACATAACAAGTCTCCTAACACTGAAAATCTGGTGGCAGCTGGTTGTAATTCATGGTCAGTTATACAAACTAAAAAGAAACAAAGCAATACTAACTGTGAAAAAAATGTTAAGAAGGCGGGAGGAGAATCTAACATTAAACAAGTAAATAAGTTTTCAATACTGGAGAAGTTATCAGATGACAATGATGGAGAAAAATCTACGACAAACAGCACTTACCAAACTAAGACAGCCAACAACAAACATAAGAAAAATCACCTCAAGCACAAGAAAAATCACCTCAAGCACAAGAACATAAAACTAGGATCGGATAGGAAATGTGCAAAACAACAGAAAACCAAATCTAATCTAAAAATAACCTTCTGTTCTGACAGTCAGGGTAGGGACATACCAATAAAACTAACTGCTCTCAGTGGTGGTAAAGTGGATGCTTTCGGGTATGTCAGAGCAAACACCACTTTAACACAAGATGTTGATTCTGCTTCGATTGTCAGTGACACCTCGCCTGTTATCTTTCTTGGAGGCAGTAATGACAGTCTTAAAGACTGTTTTAATGAAATATACCGTAATTTAGAATCTAAACTTCAACTTCTGAGTTCTTCTAGGCCAGTTTTTATATGCACGATACCCCTGAGACATGACAAATCCGCAAAAAAGTTCTGAAAATCTTAAACTCTTAACTGCTAATAATTATATCACCGAATTGGTAGACAGAATAAATAATGTCTATTTGATCAACTTAAATATTCTTCAAAGATCACACTTCACTTCACATGGCTTACATCTGAACAACCTAGGCAAAAGTGAAGTAGCTCACATAATCCTTAACACTATTTCATCTTGGTTGACAACACAAAAACATATAAACGATATTTTAAATAATCACAACAGCATAAACATCATTGTATCAAATATGCATCATATAATAGACAGCTTGAAATCAAACCAGGAGGTGGCTTTTTCTCACTGCATATCAGGTGATTTCATAAATCCAAGAAATATGTCTGCTGGAGTTGCAGTTCCATTCAGAAATTTTTTTGGCAGGCCCAAAAAATCAGATATGCTCAACAATTATCTGACACTGCAAACTTATAAAAATGGAGCAGCTGTCTATGGACTGGTTACCAAAGCCACGTATAATGGGAAACCGGCAATATCAGATTATGGTACAGCTTTTAGTAATCTGACGGACGATTTTAAACAAAGACAATATAAAAGATTAATTTGTTCGCCCATGGGACTTGTGAGAGACTTGGTCCCTATTGAAAATTTTGCTAGCAATATTGTAAATTTTCAACTTGCAACAGGCGTTCCGGTTTCAGTGATAGTCCAAGAAGAGAAATCATCAAGAAATCTTTACAATAAACTGAGCTTTGATGCATTTAAAAATACACTCCATCAACAAATAAGGGAATACAAGAAGAGCACTCGAGAAGAAAAACTAAATGTTGAGGAAACACGTTCCATGGCATCAAGACCTCAGGCAAATATGTCCCAGCATGCTGTTGAAGAAGATGCCATAGCTAGAAACTCCAACCCAAGACCAGTGGAGCAGGTGCTATTGAGAGGCAGTTAGTGTCCAGTGAGTGTAAAAGCCAGTCTGTGCTCCCCCAACAGTGTTCTCCTCCTAAGCCTTCCAACACCTCTACTCCCTATTCAACCAAAATTGTAAATTTTTGTATTTCCAATATCCAAGCAACTGAATGTTCATCCCAAAATAGTTCATCCCAAAGTAATAGTAGTAGTGGTAATAGTAGTTTTAATTCACTAATGTCCAATGTTCCTGTTATAGGACAACCAGTAATTTCAAAAAACCTGTTATTGGCAATAGTCTCAGAGAAAACATGAAAACCACTTTCAAAGGTTGTCAATTAATGCACTATAATATTAGAGGCATCAAAAATAAATTTGAGGAATTGTACACTATTATTAAGGATATTGACCAAATTAAGATAATCTGTTTAAATCAACACAAATTGAAAGAAAGTAACAAATCTATATTTGAATAAATTACCCAATTTTACTTTAGCTGATGGGTATTTTAGGACAAAATCGGCTGGTGGTTCATGCATTCTATTGCATGAAACAATCAATTTTATTGTGAGGCAAGATCTAAAGGAATTTAATGATGAATACTGTTTTGAATCCTCTTGTATAGAAATAATAGATTGTAAGATTATTGTTGTTTCCATATATAGAATACCAGGTAGTAGTGTTACACAGCTATTTTTATGTAAATTTAGATCTTTTCTGGAACTAATACAAAAAAAGGATTTCTCAAAGAAAATCATAGTAGCAGCAGCAGCTGATTTCAACATAGATATTTAAAAAAATGATAATGATACAAAAATGTTTGAGAACTTGTCTTGAAATTTTGGTCTGAAAATAAATTTTAGACAGCCAACTAGAGTATTTAAAACATCAAAAACATGCATAGATGATATTCTCACAAGTGTAAGCTATGATAAAAATGCAACCATAAATATTGATCTTGGCATATCTGACCATAATGCATTATTTTTACAATTGCCTAAAACCTTAAACTTGCCTGAAAGTATATACAAAAGAATTCGCTTTTTTCCTATTAAAAAATTACCACTTTTTATTAACTCATTAAGTGACAATATCAAGTCTTTAGCTCTAGACAAATCTGTGAATGACAACTACAAATCTTTTTTATCTAGTTTTACACTTTCACTGAATGAAGTTTATCCTGTGAAATTAATTAAAGAAAAGAAAAACCAATGTAAGGAGAATTGGATTACTCAGGGTATAATGATTTCTTCAGAGACTAAAAGAAGATTACACCAATTGGCAAAAACATGTAGGCAAAAATCATTTTTGAACTATGTTAAGAACTATAAAAGAATTTTCAAAAAGGTAGTTTTTCAGGCTAAGAGATTGCATAATAGTAATTTTATTATTAAATCTTGTAACAAGAGTAAAGCTATGTGGGGAGTTGTTAAAAAAGAACTGGGCATTCAAGTAAAAACGGAGACTACTACTAAAATTGATGTTGGGGATAGGGTGATAAATGAACCCAAAGAAATTGCAGAATATCTTAATGTTCAATTTTCCAACATAAAGGAAATATTAAATGTGCCAAATGTCTCTTTCATCAATAACAAGTACATCAGTCAAAACTCTTTAGAATCAGACAATACAGATAAATTACAGTTTTTGGCTTTTACCAACAAATTTGAAGTTTAAAATGCTATCTTAAGTTTAAGTAATAGTAATTCTTGTGGTTGGGATGAGATTCCCACTAAATTATTGAAATGGACTGCTGACATTATTTCTGATATTATAGCTGGACTCATCAATCAATCATTTAGTAAAGGTGAATTTCCAGACTTGCTAAAATTGTCTGAAATCAGAACAATTTTAAAAAAAGGCACACATAATAATAGTCAAAATTACAGACCAATTTCTTTACTCAGGAATGTATCTAAAATTTTTGAAAAAATAATTCATCTTAGAATTGCAAATTACCTGGAATGTAACTCAAAACTGTGTCAAGAGCAGTTTGGTTTTAGAAGAAATCTAAGCACACATAATGCTCTTTTTACTTATATTAGTAGTGTCCTTGAAGCTCTGGATCAGTCACAGGTGACTGCAGGAGTTTTCTGTGACTTATCCAGGGCTTTTGACTGTGTGGACCACAGGTTGCTGCTGATCAAATTGAAGAATATTGGCTTGGAGGGAATGGCACTAGAATTATTACGATCATACCTATTCAATCGAAAGCAGCGCACAATAGTAATAAAAAATCAATAACATATTATTCTAACTGGGCCAGCGTTACATATGGTGTTCCCCAAGGTTCCATACTTGGGCCTTTATTATTTATTATATTTATTAATGACTTGCCTAATTGCCTTTCCACAAATTCCTGTGCTTTCACTTTGTATGCCGATGACACAACTGCTCTTTTAAAAAGAAAAACACTAAGTGAACTTAAATTAACTTTTGACAGCACAATTAAACAAATCAATGAATGGTTTGAGAGCCATGGCCTGAAATTAAATGAATGTAAAACTAACATTCTTCAATTTAAACTCAGAAACAGAGTTACAGACACCACAATCAGTAATACAAAAATTGTTAAGTTTTTAGGTCTAAATTTAGACTCAAAATTAAGTTGGTCTGATCACATTCATCATCTAAATAAAAAATTAAGGTCAACAAGGTATTCACTAAGTGTACTATCCAAGGTCACGCCGCTAGAAGTCTGCTTGACAGTATATCATGCGTATGTTCATTCTTTGCTGGCTTATGGCGTCACTCTATGGGGTAACTCTGCAAAGGCCAAGAAAGTGTTCACTTGCCAAAAGTCAATTCTCAGAACTATTTTTCACCAGAAGTCTAAAAAAAGCTGTAAGCCTTTTTTCAAAAAACATTCCATTTTAACATTACCTTCTCTTTATATATTTGAAATAGCAAAGTATGTTCATGCAAATCCTTTCTTTTTTGAAAAATATAAGATAAATCATAACTATCAAACGAGAAATAATAACAAAACTTTTCAATATCCCAAACATTCGCACACAAAATTTGAAACTGGGCCTCTTTACATGGGATTAAAAATCTACAATCATTTACCTAATTCATACAGAACTTTATCAAAATCAAATTTTACATATAAACTGAAAGAGACTTTGAGCCAAAAAGCGTATTACAAAATTCAGACGTTTTATAAAGATAAATTGTAATAGTTTTTACTCTTGTCAGGGTATAATTAGATTAAGGAACCTAGATATAAATTGACCATGTACCAGCTTGGGAATTACTTTTGTATCAGGCGTTATGTACAATAAAGCTTTGTCTATTGTCTATTGTATATTGTCTACTTACTCCCTTAAGAGGCCAGTTAGAAGCCGCATTGCCATTATAGTTGTTAGTAGCACCTCCGTTGTCAGAGAGAAATAATATGATGGTGTTGTTCAACATACTTTTACTTTTCAACGCTTGCATCACTTTCCCAACTGATTCGTCCACCTTGGTCACCATAGCTGAAAGAGGTTAAAAAAAAATGTTACATTCATTTTTTTAGCATACACCCTGCACAAAATATATGATCTTGATACTTTTGAACGCCATAAAACATAGGGTGGGAAAAAGTCCTGGGACAGATGAATGTGTTAAAAAGTTTAATAAAGCAGCAATACCTGAACTAAGCTATACTGGTCATAAAATACTATTTTTACCAAATTATTCAGTAATACCATTGACTAAATACCCTACCTCCTCAGGGGGACTAGGAGTCAGAAGGAAATTTTTAACGTAAGCATGCCATACAATGCCGTTCAAAGATGTCTTGAATTGCAATGCAATGATACCGTACCTCCTAAGTGGGGTACCCACTAGAATTCAGAAAATCACAAAATGTTAGCATAGGTTGATATGCACATCAAGTTAAAGTTCTTTATTAGTAGAATACACAATGCTGCAAATTTTAGCTGAAAGAACAACTGAGTCGTAAATTACAGCCATCCAAAAATTCAAAGTCAAATTAGAAGTCAAACTGGCTAAAAATTTTACACCTGTTAGATATCTATTTCTATTAGTAGTGAAACTTAATGTGCAATAGAGGGAGTCATTGATAACCTCACCAGCATATATTCGTCTCTTGCGCTCCGCAATGTGCTTGACTGAGGCTATAGCGTCTCGAGGCGCCTGCAGTGGAGCGTGAGGCGCCGTGTGAGAGAGGTACAAGAACAAAGGCTTTGAGACATCATGGTCTTGGATAACAGACTCAGCCTCTCTGGTGAACAAGTCAGCTGAGAATGTGTTCCGTCCGTCCCATGAAACATTCAGCCCCCTGTGCAGGTCATAGCCGGGATGGTTCTAATCATCAGAATTGAATTAGGGGATTTTTTCATTTGTAATAATGTGGAATTATGTATTGAACTATAAACTCTGTGAAAAAGAATATAAAATTTTACAAAGCACTTTCATCTTTAGAGCGCTGTTTAATTAAACATTGGAGTTATAATGTTGGCTCACACAAAATTTGACCATCATTGTCATTGGGAGTGTATGGTGTGTCTATAGTTCAGCATTCAAAGTCAGCCATATTGAATTGTACTTTTGAATACCATGATACCATCTAATTTTTCCTACCTAAACAGCTATGTATTTAGACCACTGGTCTGTTCAATGACAGCAAAGGATTGTTGGGCTAAGTCACATAATTAAGTAGTGAGCGAGTAGAAATATTATGGAAATGGCTGGTCTCAATATGGAATGTCTTCCTTATCAGTTACAAATTTGAGAATTGTTAGAAGTAGACATTTACATTACCATGTTAAAGCTTGATTAATTTTGTTACCAACAGAGTGTGTTGGTCAATTCCCAAATACAGATTTTGTTTTAATAATGCTCTATTTTTAATGAAGCCAAAGTGAAAATAAACATAGTTTTACAACATTGCTTCTTTTCTTGCCTACATGAAATATGATATGCCAAAAACCAAAGGAGATATTACATTTAAAATGTGATACTGTGTGAGTGACACTTTCAACTAATTAAATTTGAATAAAATATGTCTATACTATGTTCATAAACAAATGTTGACTCATCACCTACATCATCCGTCATGTAAGTGAAGTGGTTCTGGTGTCCTAACCAAGTGCCGTAATGTGAGTCAAATCCTCTTCTGGTTGGAGTATAGTCTGCCTTGTAGAAGCCGAGGTGCCATTTGCCCACTGCTCGACTAACATAGCCCTCCGACCTGAGGTATTGAGGCAACAGTCGATCCTCTAGTGGTAACCCCCACGGCTGAGGAGCGTAGATAACATCATGCTGCATACCTGAGTAGAACAGTTACAACACCTAAATGCTTACAAGTTACAACTTAATGTTTACATATTTCAATTTAGAGTAAAAACAAAGTTGGAATGCTTTCAAATACAATTTGGCTATTATTTTATTCCTGTAGTTTTTGCTCAAAAAAGACTCAAGGCCATGATTTTTATTTGTAGAATAAAGTGACGGCAGCTAGCTTACCTTAGAAGAAGTACAGGTAGATAGAACATAAATGTGACATATAAAGCACACAAAGTTTCATTCCCTAGAGACTTTTCAAGTATATACAAAGAGATGAGTTTATGAAGTAGTCAAAAAATTTCCATTTTACTTACGCTTGAAAAAGTCCCTCAGGGGACGAAATACTAATTGTGTGCACTTGAAAGCTAATTAAGTTGATTGAATCTATTTCCTGGCCTGAGGTGTTTCACAAAGGCAACCCGTCAAACAATTTTACATCTTGATTGTTACAATTTGAACAGCTGACACAGGAATTTAAATATACAAATTCAGGTGCTACAACAATGAATTAAGTTGGGGCTAAACCCAATAAACCCTCTATTTGACCATAGCCAAAAATAATTATAGACCGACAGCGGTGCTGCGGTTACCATATGTTCTGGCGTCCACCGCTAGGAGTGCCGTGTAGTTACAGCGCACACCTCTGCAGCGTCTACTGGGAACATATGGCAAGGAGCCAACGAATCAAACACCGAGCGTGCTCTAGTGGCACAACACGGAATCTTCCTTTGGCAGTCTATGTTTATTCTGTTTGTCTATTAGACTAACCATAATATCAATCAAAGTCGAATAATTTCTCACCATTACTGATGGGGTGTCTGCCAGTAAGCAGGGCAGCCCTGGCTGGTGTACAGATAGGCTGAGTGTAGTAGTCCCGTAGAATGACACCAGAGTATGCTAGGGCATCAATGTTGGGTGTCTGGAACTGGTCTGACCCATGGAAACTGACATCGTTCCATCCCTGAAAACACATTGTAGAAAAATCTGTAAAAGGACTAAAGCCTTGACATGCTATTGCTTATCAAGAGAATGTAAATAAAGGGTGAGAAATACCACACACTCCAGGTAGAACACTGCATGCCACATCGTCACATTCAATAAGGTTTTTTGTCCTAGGACGCTTGGCAGCCCGGGATTGTTTTTCACATTACTACTTCTTGGACCTAGAGGTTGTGTCATTATCTCTATTGATGATTTGGCGGGATTTGGACCTGGGACCTCAGGAACAAAAGTCCCGCACTCTACGACTAGACCAGTGTACAATTCATGCGTTCAGATACACCATTGTGCTGAGGTAATTTAATGTATGGTGTACTGTACATTTCATGTTTACTCTTTTTTGACCAAACTGTTTGAAGACATTTGATAATACTCACTTTTATTTATACGTGGAATTATAACAATTAATGGAAATTAACTGAAATTAACTCATTCATGGCTGTACATTAAATTACACCAACATTGGATTCCTTTTTGAAGTCTCTTGACTGACTTTTCAAGGTTTCAAGATCTGCTTTTCTCAAACACTTTTATCACAGAATTAAGAGAAATCTATGTTAGTGTGATATTATTGAGCGAAGCGAGCGAAGCTCTTATACGTCGACTCTTATGCATTTCGTAATACGCAAACTCCTCCTAGACGGCTGAATCAATCGTTTTCAAATTTTGCATGGTGATAAAGACCATATCGTTGAGTGCCAACATCTATATGGTGTTAAAAAAGTCTCTCAGGAATCCGCCCTACTGGGTCTCAAAGTTTCAATGTAATCCTTATGGAAGCAGTATTTGACACATAAGCAAAAACATATGATCAAGTGTTGACTTTTGAATGAAGTAGATAAATAAATAGCTAATAGCGTTATTCCACAGATATTAGAACAGAAACGGTATGGATCATAAATATAATCAAATGACGACACTAGCTTGGGGTCCGTGACGTATGAAGTGGTTAAAGAAGTAGTAAAGGTGAGCAGTCTGGAGTATGGAAACTATTTATGACGATTAGATTTAGGTATCTGCATTCCTAAAATTCCATGGGAAGGGAGGGAAACAGGTCCGGGACGTAGGAGGTGTAAAGGAAGTAGTAAAGGCGAGCAGTTGGAGTGTGGAATCTGTTTATGACGATTAGATTAAGGTATCTGCATTCCTAAAATTCTATGGTAAGGGAGGAAAACAGGACCGCGAAGTAGGAAGTGGTGGAGGAAGTAGTAAAGGCGAATGCCCCCCCCCCTACCCCCAAATGACGCCCCTGTCCGCGACGTAGGAAGTGGTGAAGGAAGTAGTAAAGGCGAGCAGTCTGGAGAGTAGAAACTGTTTATGACGATTAGATTAAGGTATCTGCATTCCTAAAATTCTATGGGAAGGAAGGAAAACAGGTCCGCGACGTAGGAAGTGGTGATGGAAGTAGTAAAGGTGAGCAGGCTGGAGTGTGGAACCTGTATATGACGATTAGATAAGGTATCTGCATTCCTAAAATTCTATGGGAAGGGAGGAAACAGGTCCGCGACTTAGGAAGTGGTGAAGGAAGTAGTAAAGGCTAGCAGTCTGGAGTGTGGAAACTGTTTATGACGATTAGATTAAGGTATCTGCATTCCTAAAGTTCCATGGTAAGGGGGGAAACCAGGTCCGCGACGTTGGAAGTGGTGAAGGAAGTAGGAAAGGCGAGCAGTCTGGAGTGTGGAAACTGTTTATGACGATTAGATTAAGGTATCTGCATTCCTAAAATTCTATGGGAAGGGAGGAAAACAGGTCCGCGACGTAGGAAGTGGTGATGGAAGTAGTAGAGGTGAGCAGGCTGAAGTGTGGAACCTGTATATGACGATTAGATTAAGGTATCTGCATTCCTAAAATTCTATGGGAAGGGAGGAAACAGGTCCGCGACGTAGGAAGTGGTGTAGGAAGTAGTAAAGGCGAGCAGTTTGGAGTGTGGAAACTGTTTATGACGATAAGATTAAGGTATCTGCATTCCTAAAATTCTATGGGAAGGGAGGAAAACAGGTCCGCGACGTAGGAGTGGTGAAGGAAGTAGTCAAGGCGAGCTGTCCGTAGTGTGGGAACTGTTTATGACGATTAGATTAAGGTATCTGCAATCCTAAAATGCTATTGGAAAGGAATGAAACAGGTCCGCGACGTATGAAGTGGTGAAGGAAGTAGTAAAGGTGAGCAGTCTGGAGTGTGGAAACTGTTTTACATCTAAAATACTAAAACGCAATGGAAAGTGATGAATACAGGTCCACGACGTAGGAAGTGGCTTAGGAAGTAGTAAGGCTATATAGCAGTGCAGAGTGTGGGAACTTTCTTTAGCAATTATCAGCAATCCTAAAATGCTTTGGGAAGAGAGGGAAACAGGTCTACGACGTACGGTGTGGTGAAGGAAGTAATAAAGGTGAGAAGTGTTGAGTTTGGGAATGGATTAATGTATCTGCAATGCTAAAATGCTACGGGAAGAGACTGTGGACTGTAGGTATGTTAAAATGATTACGAAGCACGAATCGATACATATTTTCTATACATGCAATCGTTTGAAATATAAATTTACAACTGAGTTGACAACAGCTGATTTTTACTCCATAGAGGCTAAAAACTATTTTTACTCCCTAAATATTAAAACTAGTTGAACCCGTGCGAATTCGCACGAATAATAAGTTAGGATATTATAGCAACGTCGTTAGAAGTTTCGTCGTTGTATCGGCGTTGGTCTTGAGCTCGATCGTTGGCTATATGCATTCTAAGTTCTTTTTGCTGTTCAGTAGGAGTATTTTGCAGGACGAAGCTCATCGTGCTGAAAACTTGCGCGTATGGATTAATATCAACCAAATGTTGAGTCAAAATGTCCATGAATTCAGTGCTGCAAGAGCCATTAGCTTTGTTTAGCATTCTTTCTTGAACAGCGGTTTCGACGTCCGTAGATATAAATTTAGGCACATGTGGGATGCTCCCCTTCTGACGGTTGAAAGGTGCCAATTGAGTGATAAATTGTATCGTGCACCTTATACATGAAAGGCCCTCCACCGTTATGTTCTTCAATTTTAGCTCGAGTGCTGACCATTGCGAGCGCAGAGTTGTACGATCTAATGTTCTCTTTGTAGTTCCTGCTCAATCGATTTCTTGATATAATAGATTTCTCGGTACGGTGGTAGATTTACTTTTCTTTATGGCAGCTGGATGAAAATCCTTCGCCTCGTCCTCTTTGTTCTTCTTTAAAATGTAGCGCACCACATTTCTGACATTTTAATGCCATCTCGCCAAGTGAATGCTGCTGAGAATTTTTCAAAACCAAACAAAACAGCTGGATTTTTTTACTAATGTATTGACATTTGTTTTAGAATACAATAACATTCGAATCAATCACAATGTTATCCTTATGGAAGGAACTTTGAGGGCAGCCCACGCCCGCCCACGCCCTTTAAAAGATATGTTTTGAAAATCTAAAGCCAGTTTGCACATCTACACACCTAGACGAACATTTTGTTATATGATATGTGGGGTTAAATCATAAAACAAAAAAGCCTTAATTGTTCACAAAGTTTCATGTCGCGTATTAAATATATAGAAGATAGATAGATGCTACTTTAGACCCGCAACGCATGCATTAAAAACTACTGTTTTTACTGCAGTATGACAAAAACAATATAATATGAACCCTTGATGACTCCGCTCAATTTTGTGGATGCCTCTGCGAACGCCACCTAGTTTTTATACATATGAACTGTTATTACTCCTTATTTAATTTATGAATTTCTTTATTGTCTCACAGTTGTTCTTTGTTTACTATTTACATTTTGTATTTGTATGTTACAAATCTTACTTGACTTCAGAGTTTATTAAAACCTATCTTTAGGTCAATTTATAATGAGTTTTATTTGCACTTCAGTTAGGTATACGTGTAATTTACAACCATATCTGCAATCTATATAGATTTTACACTCATTGCCTCAACTTGTTCCTCATGAAATAAATCTAAAACTAGTTTTCATTTGGAATCATCACAGTTTTCCTCCTTTTATTATCGATATAAACTATAAGTTAAATCGTTCGCAACAAGAGATAAACAATACAAGTAATTTGTTTACAACAAAATGCAATGTTTGTGTAATTGCATTGCATTGCATGCTACTGCTACACTGAATATCTAAATACTAAAAGCATTATAAATATTTAAAGATTTTGATTCAGACTTACCAAGTCATCAGCTAAAATTATCACTATGTGTGGAGCACTCAAACATTTTGTGATCAGAACTAAAATAGAAGAAATGTTCAAGTACATGATGAGAAGTGAGATGCTCTCTCCCAACCCCTAGGTCAACATCAACTGAACTGTGAACGGATGTTTGCTGAACAGGCTAGGTAGGCACACAAGGCTTCATTCTCGGAAAGGAAAAGCCTTAGATAAAGTTGCATGTTATCAGACAGTAAACTTCTGTTTATAATCTGTATAGTACGAAATCCCAGATACTTTTAAAAGCATTTTTATTAATAGAATCTGTCAACAGTAAGTGGGCATTTGGAGTACTTAATTATCATTTAAGATGTTGAGAACTGTCGATATTCAGGAGATTGCATTGCAGTACTGCCAATTCTTTCACAAGAGATATCTTCAAACACATCAGATTTATATCGGTGAAGTAGCCCTTTAATAAACTTAAGAGGATATCAGGGTATTTTCCTTGACACAAGACATTACTTCAGAATTATTACCTGCTCCAACACTAGACCATAACAGATACAAATTGGGAAGACAGCAGTGGTGTCGTTGTAAATTTAAAAGCACAGGAAGGCTCACCGATGTAGTGGTAAAAGTAAAACGGGTCTCCTATCAATATATAGGTTCTTTGAATAAGCAGAGTGGGAACGCCATTCCCATGCGTCCCCCCTCCACTACACCACTGGAAGACAGATTATTAAAACAGAAACTAAACCAAAATATCAATTTTTAGCAAATTTCCCATATAGGGAATAGCTATTACCTTAGGTTTCATGCTAAGACCTGGACCCGGGACCGATTTAACTTTTCGTTTTGAGGTCCCAAGAGAACAAAATCACCATGAAATTTATATATATATATATATATATATATATATATATATATATATGTATACATTTATATGTGTCCGTTAGCACAATAACTTGAGCAAAAAATGATCCAACTTTAATTTAATGAAACTTGGTATAAACGTGTAAACCTACATTTATTCTATCGAGTTCGCAAACCTGCATGATCGGAATATGGGAACAGGGGTTTATGGGGTAAAAATGGGATTTCGGCAGGGTATGTCAGCCAAATGTCTAAAACCTGGAGAAACTGTATTAAGTTGCAAATCGCGCAGACGGCCGGTAAAAACAATCATGTGTGTTTACTGATAGTGGTACTTCTTAATCAAGAAATACTATTTCCTAAATCCCGCCGGCCAGAGACAGCCTCAATTGGGTTGATTTTTTGTGTTTTTTTTAACCTGATTACACCTCTGGAATGCCTGAAAACGCAAGTTTTGGAGTTCTAATTTTTCCTAATTTTCCCAGACTCCCTACACGAGTGCAGACTTTGACCTCATCCATCCCCCCTCCAAAGCCATGTTCTAGTTACGCCACTGAACCAATCTACTTAGAAAACTTCCGAGTACATGACCATCTTTGCACCAATATAGGATTGATTAACCAATTTACTTAGAACACTCCCAGGTACATGACCATCTTTGAACCAATATAGGATTGATTAACCAATCTACTTAGAACACTCCTGGGTACATGACCATCTTTGAACCAATATAGGATTGATTAACCAATCTACTTAGAACACTCCCAGGTACATGACCATCTTTGCACCAATATAGGATTGATTAACCAATCTACTTAGAACACTCCTGGGTACATGACCATCTTTGCACCAATATAGGATTGATTAACCAATCTACTTAGAACACTCCTGGGTACATGACCATCTTTGCACCAATATAGGATTGATTAACCAATCTACTTAGAACACTCCTGGGTACATGACCATCTTTGAACCAATCTAGGATTGATTAACCAATCTACTTAGAACACTCCCAGGTAGATGACCATCTTTGAACCAATATAGGATTGATTAACCAATCTACTTAGAACAATCCCAGGTAGATGACCATCTTTGAACCAATCTAGGATTGATTAACCAATCTACTTAGAACACTCCTGGGTACATGACCATCTTTGAACCAATCTAGGATTGATTAACCAATCTACTTAGAACACTCCTGGGTACATGACCATCTTTGAACCAATCTAGGATTGATTAACCAATCTACTTAGAACACTCCCAGGTACATGACCATCTTTGCACCAATATAGGATTGATTAACCAATCTACTTAGAACACTCCTGGGTACATAGTTGAGAAAGTGGTACGAAATGATGGTTTCATAACTGTTAAACCCAGTTGAACAAGGGATAATCTTTCTGAAATAAAAGCCCCATTGAAACTGTAAACTTTTATTATAAATAACATGTAATCAACATGTAGTACATGTCTTTAAAGAAAAAAAATATAGAAACAGTAGAAAGTACATTTCGTAACAGCAGACAATTTAATAAAGCTCAAAGCAAAATGTTGATATATATTTATACTACCCATACAATTTAGAAGTATATACATACATCCTAACACATTATGATTTCAAATCACCTAAACTAATTTGAGTGTCATGAAAAATATCCAACATCTCTTACTCGTCAATAAAACATCAGACGAATTATGCTAACTTATAACTATTTTTGTCACTTAATAAGTTTGATCACAAGCTAAATGGCATCTTGATCCAATAGAAAATGATTTGATTTGATGTAGTCTATACTTACTGGAGTGTCCACTGACACAAAGAAATTAGTAATAATAGAACCATGATTTGATTAATCAAACTTTCCAATACAATAGAGGATAAAAATATTTGGAGTATACAGTATTGTTTCCAAGTACCAAACTCAAATTGCAATGAACATGAGTTCAATATTGGAAACATAATTATTACGGTAGTTTATTTTTTAAATCATAAAAGATATAACTATCTTTTTATTGATTGTATCATCTGAATAGAAGAAAAACATTCCCTAAGTAGTTGGTTTTCCTCAGACAAAAATAAACAGACTGAAAAGGGTTAAAGTGCTGATACGGCAAATTAATAAAAATGTGTGTGAATAGGCTGCAGTAAGCCTATAATTTGATTCAAGAGTTTTTGTTGTGTTTGGAACCATATATGTTACAGTTTTCTATCACTTCAGTCTTTAAAAACTTAATTAAAACAACAAATTTGATTCTATGGAAGAGCATGAGTCAAATTTCAATGTAACAGATATAGCTAGAAGAATATGGTCTTGGAACGTGAAGTTCCATCAAGGCATTTTACAACTTACAACACGTTATTTTAGAATGACTAGTGTAACAGTCCAATGAAAGGAAATATTCTCTAACTACTATAGTCACCATGTTGATCTCCTTACATGGTTCTATGATAAACACTAAAGTATGTACAGATTTGTGTTTTTTTTACAATTCTCTAACTTATATAAATAACCACAGCATTAAGTAACATTAGGTCTACATTTAACAATAACATTATTTAAATGTCCAGGTTGAAACTACAAGTTTGTCAACATTAGATACAGATTCATGGGTACCCAATAGAGAAAAAAGTACTTCCGTTCCTTAGCTCTTTAGCTATAAGGTGAAAGTGTCACATTATAACCAAGAGTAATGTAAAACTACTCTAAAAACTGAGTTTAAAATTACAAAATGGTGTCGCTGTAAGATTGTTTGCCCAACAAATAGGTTGACGTTGATAAAGGTTTCATAAATAAAATGTTTATTTACTGTTGATAACCAAATTTGAATCAGGACTACATAGTGCATAAGGAAACATGGAAATTGATAATCTTTTGTCAAATTGTATTCCAAATTATACCTTTGTTTTTCAAAGCTTTAACAAAACTGAAAAAATAACGGCTTCGAACGATTTTAAACAATTTTACCAAAGCATCTCACATTACATTCAAAGCTTTAAAATATTTTATATTCTAAGTCTAAAATCCTTACATATAAAATCATTAAACACTTCAAAGGACAGAATAACACAAACATTTAAGTACACTGTATCATAGTGCATTGCAGAGTTTTAAGACCTTAAAATCACTTTGTCCGATTCTCTCTGAGAGAGTTTATCACAACACTTTCACATGTCGATGGTCACTTCTTCCTTGTCAGGAAGGTCCAACCGAGGTCAGCATCCGTTGCGGAGATTTGCAGAGGAGATCTCGTTAGACTCGTTCCATCGGAGCACCTCCAAAGGACACTCGGGCTTCTCCAGCCCTCTCTCGGGATCTGCCGCTTTGGCTCCGTTGGATAACAACTCTGTCATGACATCCTCCGCAGAGACATTGATCAGCCTTTGGCGACACAGCGCGATCGCTCTCACAAACTCGTCCTTGGGCGTGATGAACCTGTGCTCCATGTAGATGGAGTTCTGGTCCCAATAGACGATCTGCAAGTTGAGAAACATATTAATGCAAGAAATGTGACAATAAGACTTCAATCACTGAAAGGAAGATTGTAAGGAGAATACTGTCAAAGGGTTGCAATTTGTTTTTAAGAGGTTGGCGGTCTCTTTTAACCTTGCATGCCCGTCCACATAGACTACAGATCTGTGTGTAGAACGTATCCAGCAAAGCAAGGGGTGAGCCGGTACAGTACGAAGGTGAAATGTACTGATAAACTGTTTTCGGCAGTGACCAAGGATCCGAACCCACGACATCGCTGCCTTGGGCCCGTAGTCCATGACACTACTGACTCTGCCACCGACTCACCACCCTTTGGTTAGGCGGATACCCTTAGTCACCCAACAAAAACTAGGATCACCTGACAGTTCTTGGGGAGTTTGCGCTTTTATTTAGATAAGAGTGATCCTTGGGTAAAAATAGAAAAATATTTCTGGCTAAAAATGTAGAGTGTGCGAGGTAGTTATATTTCACTGTCAGATGATTGAAATAAATACATGAGCACACTTAACTTTGGAATGAATAACTCCTAACAATTTTATGTGCTGGCAAAATACTCTTTATGGCAATAATGATGAGATCTCTTTTCTTTATAAGAGTGTAAGTAAATCTGAGTCTTTTCCAAACAATGGGATTCATACATTTACCAAATTACAAACAATGCAAAATCAATTAACAAACTTGGTTGAATCATTAGATTGTTTATGTGCTATGAAGTCATGGATGGTAATGAATGGTTTTTATTTAAATACAAATCAACTATAAGATTGCATATTGCATACACAACTAGTATCCAAGTTACTTCCGTGAATTTCACACACTCACGATTCACAGATTCATAATCTTCACACACACACATTTAAGAGAAGTTGAGACCCTACCTTGGAGGTAATCGTGTAAACGGAGAAGGGACGCACAAACCGTCGGTACCGGATGGTACATGCCCCTTGGACAACGGCCCCACCTTTGGCACGAATGGTACGGTACAAGTCTGTCCTCTCGTAGAAGTCCACTCTGGCAAAGTCCAACTCTCGTAAATACCTTGCATTGTTCATATGGTACAGCAGTGTATCCACATCCGTACTCAGGCACACACCTGGAATATTTTCATTCATGTAACAGTTTGCAGCATTACAAATAGTTCAAATTTTGGGTGCAGAATTTGGTAAATTGATTGTTTGCTGTAATATTTGCCAAAAATATAACACTCTTTTTTGGCACAGTGCAATGGGTGCTAAAATGTTATGCATGGAGGTCAGTAATTAGTTTATCGTAAACTGTTTTGATTATTGTCCATAATGAATACTGTATTTACATTCAGTTTGCCAACGCCTGCAGTTCGAACACAGATATAGATAGCATGAGCTTACGTTAATGTACTGCAGTATGTATCAGCGTTTGAGCAGGAGCCAAGTCCATATTGCGACTGTAACTAGTTGGCGAACTGTTTACTGCTACAATTTTTATAGCAAATGTTTTCGCTAATGTGAAATTTTCTAAGTTACTTAGCTTTGTAATAATAGCTTTCTGTGAATCTGTGTTGCGAAATTCAAAAGATAAAATTGTAAATTGTTAAAAATGTACGAAATGCCACTAAATTCAACTTGGATTACTATATTTTTATTTTAAAATTGTAATAAGATGATACGTGGACTATTTTAAATTATAATAATGACTATGATAAAAGTTTGGACTGGTGTTAGAAGAGGAATATTACTTTGTTACTAATTAATCAGTGTTGTTACTATTTTTGTGTTTTTAGTAGACAATATAGTCAATATAGTTTTACCCTCAAGCTCATCATCAAAATATTCCTTTATTGATTTTTAAGAAATCATTATTTCCTAATTTGGGTAAATTCCTATGTTTTTAGAACATAGGCTACTGTATCCATAAACATGTGCCTATCCTTAAATCAAATAATATGTTTTGTTATCTATATATTAATTTGAAACTGTTTTTCTTTGTCACAGCTATTTTGAGAGAACGGCTGGGCGTAGAAACTCGGTAGAGGTGTCTAAAGAAAGGTCTTGGTCTGTAGATGAGCCATCAAAAGAGAAACATGGTGAATTCCCTTGGGGCTCTGCCCCAGTGGCCTTTGAATTCTCATCCCATGTTATTCTTATGGAGGAAAACGGGGGTTTTGTCACAGCTAATTTGAGAGAACGGCTAGGCGTAGAAACTTGGTAGGGGTCTCTAAAGAAAGGTCTTGGTCTGTAGATGAGCCATCAAAAGAGGAACGAGGCCAATTCCCTTGGGGCTCTGCCCCAGAAGCCTTTAAAGTTGCCTCCAGATTTGTTTACATTACGACCATATGCATAATTCTACACTACTTTTTAATGAAACAGCTGTTAATATTTAAATGTTGATTTATTGAATTTGTCAAAATGAAGGTATTTGCAATGGGTTTTTCTGATTTTAAAATGGATTTTCTTCTGCATCGTGTCATGTTTTGCAATATAATGTTCTATTACCAAATTAGTGGAAAATCCTATCATCACAGAGTAACTCTTTTCTTTTGGAGTTAACTTACATCTATTGTATGGGTTAGTTTCTGCCTTTTTTACCACTTCTTGGAGATTGTACGTAGGTGATATTCGTTGGCATATTGCATCTGTAGACGAAGCTTGGGTTGGTGTATAGAATGGAAAAAAGTGAGAAATCCTGGACAATTTGATATAGGCTATAAATAAAACTGAATTAACACTGTTCTACATTTCTTGAGCAATCATTGAAATAACCGATTTGCAAACAATGGAAACATAGAAAAAGTCATAGAACACAACCAAGTAGAAGAAATAGAAATAATGTTTTTTTTTCATTTATAATCGTTATAATGGACAACCTAATGCGACTATGAGATGGAAAGTTTGTAGAAAACACTAAAAAAACAAGATCAGCTTTTTGAAAAAAGATAAGATATTTACAAAATAGTTTGATTATATCTAACTGTTGTGTAGATTGTGAGTATTTCCATAATCTTTGAGTCGCCTGTAATGCAATTGCTCGAATTCGAGCAACAGGTACACTAGTAGTCTTTAAACTAAAGACTCTGTTACAGCAGTATTCTATTCTATTAGGCAACTATGATTAACATGCAACAAATGTTAGCGGTCGAGGCCGTACATGAGGTCAAGTACACACGCCCGTCCTGTACATGTACACGTACATAGCATGTGTACAACGTACAAGAATAGGGCTAGAGTGAAACATACAATCTCGGTGTGTCAGTTTCGTGAAGAATCTAGAAGGGGTATATCATTGACTATATAACACTATAGTCAATGGGTATATCCAAGAAGAAGACCACCACTGTTAGAATGCAAGTTAGGTTAGGTTGTAAGTTGTACATCACCTTCATTTGTATAAACGGGATTAGTGGCAGCCCTCTCATTGGAAAGACCCATTTTTTAAGTAGCATATTTTTAAAGAAGGTTAAGAATACCGTTTTTACACTAACGTCAAAAGGTCATGTTTTTCTTTTTGCTTTTGTTAGGTTTTGAACCTTCAGATGTTTTATGTGTGTGCGAAGGTTAATTACTTTAGTGTTTGTTTTTTCGTGATTGCACACCGTTGGATTTCGTAGTATTTTTGTAAGGATAATTTTGTCCTTTTCGTGTTACCAACTAACATTGACTTTTTAAATAGCATCATTACCTAATTTTAGCCCAATGACAAATTGTATTTAGTTTGGAATTGGAACAACGACCCTCGGAGTTTAAGACGATCACATCCACTGCATACAACACGTATTGTAGACAAAACGAATCAAATACAGACGTAGCTGTGCTGCGGTTACCATAGGTTCTGGCACACACCACTGGGAGCGGTTTGCACCAGAAACTTTGGTAACCATGGTAACCGCAGCAAGGCTGACATTCTATATTTTATTTTTTTTGTCTATGATTGTACAATGTACATAACAGTGTTAACAAGCAGAATACCAAGTACACACATTCTACGCTACCGACGACCACGTTACCGAGAAACGATTGCAATTTAGCCAAACCACTGACTATAAACCCTGGACAAACACACTTGTAGTATACAAATATTTGAGCCACTCACGTGGATAAGCACTATCATGGCTGACCTTGGCCTTGCTCGATCAGCTGATTATCACCTGTTACCACGGCTGTGCAAATTGGCGCCAATCAGGCTGGTGTTCAAGTGATCGGCACAATAGACAAAAAGAATTAAATATAGACCGTCAGCTGTGCTGCAGTTACCAAAGGTTCTGGCGCACACCGCTGGGAGTGACTTTTAGTTACGGCAGTTATATCATGGTTACTCTCAACTGAGTTGGGGGATATAATGTTGATAAACTATTTAATTTATATAATTTTTTGGGGATAAATTATTACTGAGTGATCCGATTGTCACGTTTATGAAAATTGTCGCTTTTTGCTCAATACTCGGATTTTTTGTCACTAATTGTTTCATTATGGGTAAGTCAGCTTTCATTCTATCGCTACAACCGGGACATCCAGATGTTCTCCTTGAGCTGGGCAGGTTGCTGTTTCCAGCGTGTCGACATACGCATTGGAACGCAACAATCAGCTTCACTTCGATGACATGATTGTAGTATCATAGAGAAGAGAATATTATCGTAAAATGTTTTATATAGTTATTGTGTAACTAGTGTGCGAAGTGGCACTTTGCTGCACAGCTAAAATGTTTACGCACGAGCCGTAGGCGAGTGTGGATAGTGTCTCGAGTTAAGCAAAGACAGTTTGCACTCGTGTTACACATAATATTTTCCGACAGTTACTATAAATCATAGAAATAATTATTAGTCTTTCAAACACTAAACAACACGTTTTAGGTTGGGCTAAATCCAAACGTTGAACGAAATAGGAAACACTGCAACAGCTGATCGTAGTCGTAGTATCTTTAAGTGTTGCAAACCTATTTTCAAGCCTACACAGATTACGTGCATAATAAAAGCACGCAGTTTTGTGTTGTTTGGTTGGAATACTGGAGTGTGGCGAAAAAAAAAGTGTGCGGTAAAGTAAGTAAATACAGCAATTAGCAACTTTCTAAGCTCTGTTAGATGACTGTAGGAAAAATAAATAACCTTCTTATCACGTTTATAAAATAATTTCACAAGATTTAAGATGCATTTAGTAGGCTACTAAAGAGTCATTTTGTAACTGTTTAAGTATGTGACTTTTCATCTATTAGAAATGTGGAGAGTAGGAGAGAGACGTTCTGGATCTAGGGAAACCTTTACAGATTGCTCGTTTCTCGTTGGTAATATTTCAGAGGGCAAGAAATAGTACAGTAAAGGCCAAAAGTTGTTTGTTTTGTTAAAATAAATAAATTATTATACAGAAACGAAAGATAAAAGCGTTCAAAACGCACGTTACATAAGCTATACAGAAACTATGTGATGAAATTGTCTTCATTTGTTTCACAAAGAAGATAATTCTTTTATACCGACGATGGTCTACAAGTTGAATATATTCAATCCAAAGTTAATCTTACAAACTGATATAATCGTGATTAAATACAAGTAATGTTTTACTCTTTTTACAAATATTAATGCTTGTGGATAACTAACTGCATCCCGACATCCGATTCGATGAGAAAAACATTCTCAAGGTGACAAAACGCTATTAGATAATGTGAACCAATTAATAAAAACATTTGACGAAGCAAAAAAAAAAAAATGTAACTATAAACACGTGATTAGTTAAGAGGTGTTCGTGTTCTAGGGTTTCAGAAAAACATGTTCTTCCAAGTTGACTTTTGATTTTTTACACACGAAATGACCTCTGTGAATATTATAGGGACACTTGTAATAAAAAGTTTAACTATAATTGTTTGAATCACGTGAAACTCATTTAAATAGCGAAGTGGAGTAATTTATGCAATTATTGATCATTAATATGGAACTGTGTTTAATTAAATGTATTTAGGGTTTTTTGTTTGATTATTTGTTTTTTTCTATTGACAAGAGGTTTTTCCAAGCTGCATATCTCCTTAAAACTATGGCAAGACAGAAATACATTTATTCTACTACTTGTTCTGCTACTTGTTATAAAAAATTGCAGTCTCTTCGACAGAACAGTTTCGTCGTCACGTCAGTTACACAACTTTCTCCCATCTCCCGCTTCCCGTTGTCCTGGAAGTCCTTGAGGATGTACTCTCCCAAGGTCATTCCTGCTCCTGGCTCCACGTGTGGGGAATCGGCGATCCTCGGTCATCCACCTCCCACCTTCCCGGCGGTCCCCTGGACCTCCAGGACGTGCTTATGGAAGGTGGCCTCTATGCGAACAGCAGTTAGTTCTTGAAACGCCATAGTGAAAAAAGACGTTTTTATAACGTTTGTGTCGAAAAACCTAATATGGCGACTCTTCTTTGTTCAACCTAAGGCTGGTTATAGTTGATACGAAGCTTCAAAACAATATAATTTTTATGCAACCATTTTTAACAAATTTATATTGTAAGCTATTTCTACACGCTTCAAAATATCCTTCTGCTTTAGTTGGAGAAGCGTCTAGGAATTAGCAATAAGGTAATACTATTTTTATCTTCTGTTGGATGTATATTGCGAAATACTTGAGTAACGGATGCCAAAAATGAATTTGCCACTCAAAAACGAAGCTTAACATAATTTGTAAACTGCTAGAAAATACAAACTTTAAAGAGAACAATTAAACAGTAAAAATTCTAACAAAACACTTTCAAATTTATTTAAGATGGCTGAAATCTAAAGTAAATCGCCGACATTATGGTGCATAACAAAATTATATGGACTAGAGTTACAAGAATGTTACTTTAAAAGCCGTCAAATAATAGTCTACCGTAAGGAACTCAGAGAGCTATAAATAGTCCAAAATAAAGAACTCATAGAGCTAAAAAAAATCCAAAACAAAGAACTCGGAGAGCTATAAAAATAGTCCAAATTAAGAGTCAAGAGGTTTGTGATTTTGAAATCCACAGCAATTGTGTGATAGCGATAGCCTTCGATGAGGTCGAATCCGATACAATCACACAACCTGTCCCAGTTGTGTGGCTTCACAGCGTTGCTACTCCAAGGTCACCGGTTCGATCCCTTCCTGGACCGCTTGGAAACCAAGTCGTTTGCTAGATTTTGGGAGTTTGAGTTTGGCAAACGTTCAATACAAACCTCACAAAGCCTTGTGTGTCCCTGATGTTTTGACTAACAGATCTCGTTTTGGCACTAAACTATCAAAATGTATACGTGGTAGGAGTTGTAATGGTAAAATATTTTATTGTTTATGTTTACAATGTGCGTCGTTACTGCTATTGAGAAGTGGGTTGGTGCTGTCACGAATTTTCTCCATGACATTTGGCAAGAGTCTTTCGTGGTAGGATATTAAATTCAGCAAAAATCTCATTTGTTAAACCATATTCATGTCAGGTTTGGCTCTAAGTAGACATCTCATCTATATGGACCAGCTTTAGCCAATTTTTTGTTAAAAATGAACGTAGTTGTGTGAGCCAGTCACAGAATGCTCTAGTGACTAAAACTCTATTTTCTACCTAATTTTTGTTTGCTGACCAAGTTGATGGGTCATAACAGTTGCTATAGCTGACAATAATTAATTTCATTAGTTTGAATTGGTAAAAAAGATTGTGTAGCCTATTCGACAGAAATAAGTAATTTAGATCAGCACAATCTGTCGGTGGCTCACATTAACTACGACAATTTTGGTTAAAAAAACAGGCGACAACTTTAACATGAGGATGGAATGCTCTAAGAGTTTATTTTCTTCGGAAGATATCTTGGATATTCAATAAAGCAATTAATTGTAAATTACAGTGCTGCGACTGGAGTGTTAGTAAAAACATTAATCTTCTAAATTGACTGAAAGCACAATTCCACTAAATTTTTCTAAGATAATTATTTATGATGGACACTTTAACTTTACTATTAGCAATGACGAATGACTGATGTGCTGCCTAATCAGAGTCAAGTCATAACAAAGTGCAATACCATACAGTTTGCTCGCTTGTGAAATCTTTCATTTTGTTTAGCTATACAACCCCAGTTATACAAACTGATGCAATGAAATCGAATACGTCACTGAATAATCTTAAACGTATTAAGTGCCTGTTTTGATTTATAATGTTTTTGTTTGTGAACGAGGTCAGTATAAGACGTTAAAGGATTTGACGTTAAAGATTATCCAAAACTAATATGTGATAACGGACAAATCTTCCTTCAGACTTGCAAGATCACTCGGGAAATAAATCTGTTGAGAATTATTCAAATTGTTATTGGACTATAAGTTGATTCTTTGATTCTTTTACTAACTTTTTACATTAACAATTTTAACTTCATTAAAAAAATTCAACACATTATCATAGACTAACCAACAAAAGGAGTATGTTTTATCTATGATATTATACTCGTATACTTTCGTTATCAGCATGGAACACTAAATGCACTACACGATAAAGGTGGGGGAGGGTTAATTACGACATATGTAACATTATAGCCAATATAAAACATTGGATGTGAATAGCAGTTCAAGATAAAATTGAAAAATTATGATCAGATATTTTGAAAAAAAATAGTCTTCTTTGAGTAATTTTATATCCGCTTTTCCAGGAACAGTTGTTCGTAATTTGGTCCAATTTTACCATGACGTGTGAGCACGCATAGATAGCTATGTCAAAAAATACTAAGTTTAGCGGTTTCCAAGGGCAAAGTAACTTCTCAAAAACTTAAACACAGCCATTCAAATATTAATGTTCGTTTAGAAGCGAACTGCTGAACAGAGTCGAAAGTTAATTTATATGTATATTTTTTCCTACAGATACTTGACAAAGTGTACTTCCTTGAACTGATTATAGCACGCAAAGTTGCTAATTGTTGCATTTATTTACTTTTGCCGCACTCGTTTTTGCCGCACTCCAGTATTGCAACCAAACGACGCAAACAGTGTGCTTTTATTAGGCCGGGCGCTCACTATCCCGACCACGACCACGACCACGACCAAACGCCCGACCAGTAGTTGTCATTCACCATGCGACCAGAGCACGACCCGACCAAGGCAACGAATGTTTTACAAACTTCAGTGTCAAGATGATTGTTGAAGAAGTAGTTGTTATGGTGCATTTGTATTATAAGTACGTTAAGCGGAAGACGAAACTATACTGGGTACATCCAATGTTAACTGTCAGGTGTGAAAGGGCATTTTGCAACATTTTATGAAGAGCTACGTCAATACGAAGACAGGTTTCGAAAGTGTCAAAATCCTGTGACATTTTACCAAATGAATCACTTCACAGACCGGCGCAAAAAACTAGTGCTCACCGTTTGATTGGTCTAGGAATACTGGGGGTTGAGTGGTGTACTGGTCGGGTCGGAGGCAAGTCGGGGGTAGTGCGCGTCGTCCCATTACATTGTGTGTTATTTTTGGCTGCAACGACCAGCGGGTCGGGCCCGACCAAACTGGAAAATTTTGGTCGTGCGACCAGAGCCCGACCAGGGTCCGACCAGTCGACCAGTGCGCGCTGTTTCATTTATTCCTATTATAAAACTGGTCGTATCCGACCAGTCGGAGTCGTGGTCGTGGTCGTGGTCGGGATAGTGCGCGCCGGCCCTAGGCACGTAATACGTGTACGCTAGAAAATAAGTTGGCAACACTTAAATATGCTACTAACGATCAGCTGGTAGTTCAACGCTTTGATTTAACCTAACCTAAAAACGTGTTGTATAGTGTTTGAAAGACTAATTATTTATACAATTTATAGTATGAAAAATATAATGTGTAACACGACTGCAACACTAGTTACACAAATAACTATCCTCTCTAGGTCAATAACATAGTTAATTGTATCGACAAAAGACAAAGGAAGAAGCAATGTTTATTTATGTTGCAAGTCGTATAACACTCGCGGCTGAGTCATCAAAGTAATGCAAACAGCTGATATCTTCACAATGCCTGTTGACACGACACGGCTACCAACCTAACCTACTTAAAATGCTGATTGACATAATCCTGGCGACAAAATCGTCAAGTTTCCTTGTTTAATTGGTTTGGGGTTCTTATAACAAACAGGTTTGAATAAATTACACAGAGTAATTTAACATATTTTTTTCATTGTTGGGTTTTTGTAGGATTGGGAAATGAAAATTAGAAACGTCTAATAATACTGCAACATATAAGCTTTTAGGTAATATCCATACCCATTATCTACGTTACCATTTTCCAATTGCATGAATCTAATAATAAGGAATGAAATGACAAACTCTAGTTAACTATGAGGTCTTAAAGATTTTACGCTAAAACCACCAATTTAGCAAAAGTGGGTAGACTTCCGTATCTGTTGGCACAAACAACCGAATGAAAATATCAATCAATATATCGATTATTCGATATATCGTTTAGTTAATTAGGTAAGGTTAACCTAATCTAACTAACTAAACGATATAGCGAATGAAACGATAATCGATAATTTCATTCGGTTGTTTGTGCCAACAGATTTGGAAGTCTACCCGCAAAAGTTGCTAAGGAAAAGTTGCATTTAACGTGGTTTACAGGTAAGCCTAGAATGAACAACCTCTACAAACTCACCAGTGACAGAGGTGGAGTCCAAGATATGAACTTTTCTCTTGAACACCCTCGCATTAAACACAGTCAGTCCCATCCTGATGAAGTAGTGGACCTCGAAACTCCAGTAGAGGATGAGAATCACTGCCAACACTCCAGCGAGAATGTAACACAGCACCATGGTCCTGTCTACATACTCCACCTGCGGAACATAGAAGAGGTTTGTTAGATCATAGATAAATAGAAATATATACCGACAGTAGTGCTGAGGTTAGCAGGAGTTCTGGCGTCCACCGCTGGGAGTGCCATATAGGTAGCGCACGCTCTACACAATACATGGCACTCCTAGCCGTGGATGCCAGAACCTATTCTAAGCCCAACACTGTGGTCAGTATATATTTAATTCTTATAGACAAATAGAATTAAATATAGATCGACAGCAGTGCTAAGATTAGCATGAGTTCTGGTGTCCACCGCTGGGAGCGCCGTGTAGTTAATGCACACGCTCTACACTACACGGCGCTCCTAGCGGTGGACACCAGAACTTATGCTAACCCCAGCACTGCTGTCAATATTTAATTCTTTATGGTTAGATACAACAAACATACATCTGCTCTGTACTGAATTGTTATGATCGAAGACAATGTCGATGACGTAGTTACAAAGATCTGAATCTTTTGCTAAAATATAAAATCGATGAGCTTAGATACTTGTTAATGGTATATTTGTATATCTAAGCTAGTTAGGGAAATTTAACATTTGGATAACTTAGCCCAGCCTAACAATGGAATTTACTGCGGAAAAGGCTGCCTAAATAACTAAGTTAGTTATTGTAATTACAATAAATAACAATTATTTGTAGTTAGTTTTATTTCAAACCAAACAATTCCCACTACTATTCTATTATTATCCTCTAAAACCGATTCACAAATACATTTCATAGAGTTTAGAATGGTGAGGATATTCCACAAAAGAACCACATACACCCACGCGTTTAAAAAACCCCATTAATATGCTCGTAAAGGAACATGAGGTAAGATTTAATTCCCCTTCTATAAAAAAATACTTAATAACTAGAAATCTGAACATAATAAGGCTATGTATAAATCCAATGGTATTTTTTTTTTAAGCTATAATCGAACCTACAAAGTTTGTAAGGATAATTTTAAATGAGTCTATTTCTCAATGTATTTAACCGTGTGCAGTTATCACATTTTGAAAATGGTTTTAAAACAATTGAATTAAGTAATGGCTAAAACTTAAACATTAAATAATATAAAAAGTTAGACATGTTAACATAGAATAACTATCATCAAAGGATTGTATTTACTACCAAACAATGAATCCATTTACGAGTATGTTGAAAAATTCCTAGTTGATAATAAAATACGAAATCAACTACACAGTTATCATGAGTAGTACTATACTTTTTTGTACTTCACCTAAAAGCATTGATGAGTTATTTTCGAATAGTGCATACGGTGAAGAATAAAGATGGAATATTTAAAAAATCTATTTCAATTGGAAGTATGCAGCCTTATAAAATAGTATTACGTCTAAAGCATCCTTTTAGTTGAATCGTGCATCAAGACCGTGCATATACAGACCGAACTCCAATGGAAAGTAAAATTAACCTAAAGAAAATACACAACACTATTTCTTCCACTTCTTCCTACTAAATATGCGGAGTAAGCATAGAGTAGGCAAGGAATATAAATCAAAACTAACCAAAGCGTAGACTGTTTCACCAACTGCACCACTAACACAAGTCGGTCGTATATATCATTCAAAGGAAATACCAACACAGCATCTGTCATACGTCAGTGGAAATAATTTGTACGCCTTTGACTTTCCACTAGGATAATCTTGTTTGTTCTAGTCTCTATTTAATATCATCGTTTATAGTATCCTGGTTTCATTTGATGTATAGTTATCTGTAGAGATTTTTTTTAATTTCACTTTTTACGAATTTGAGGTTATACACGTTTACGTAAATATTGTGGATGAACACATGGTTAATGCAATTTCATCGACAAAACATTTTCAGTTGTGGAAGGGAAAACTATGACAGTAGAAACCATAAAGAAAAAAATACCCCCGCCGCAGCAAACCTGCAGACTAAGCGAATTTCCATTTACCGGGCTGGATTTATACTAAGATATTCCCTTAAAATTGTCAGATTTATTTCCTGTTTAAATAACATTAATTTTAATGAGTACCTAGGTTTGCTGCTAGAGGGAAGGTATTGAGGTGTTTTTTTTTATAATTGAAATGTTGATAGCTTAGAATACAATGGGGATTTTTAATTTAATTTTTTTTTATTATCTCCGTAACCATTAGGCATACAACAACGTTTCGATATGCAAAACTATTTATTTTTTTAAGCTCTACAAAATTGTTTGGAAAGAAATTGTGAAACTTTGTGTTTTTAGTGCAAAAAATGGGAAACCCCAATTTTTGACCTCTGGGGACCTCGAAACGAAAAAGTAAATCGGTCCCGGGTCTAGGTCTTACCATGAGACCTACGGTAATAGCTTATTCCCTATATAGGAAATTCGCTAATAATTATAAGATCATTAACGTTGGCTGTAATGCAAAACAAATCATTAACCAGATAATGTCTTGCCATCTGTTAGTATAACTAAGGCCTACTATGGTAAGTATTATCATGAGTCGCTTAGTTATTTCAATGTAAATGACCACCTGAGTTGTAAGTTAAGGCGTGTGAAAGAGTTCAATTAAAAGATCAGCATTTCAGTAATTATTTCAATGTTAATAGTCATTACATAAAAATTACTCGACGGGGTAATTAAGGATTATAAGGATATGCAATCGGGTTTGTAGACCTAGTTATTGTAGCTACACGCGTTTGGATATCCATTGATGCTAGGTTCCCATATTTGATCACCGCACAGTTAAGTTTACAGTATACAGTATTGATTGATTTTGGCATATTTATTATTTCGGAGCTACAATATTTTATTCGTTCAATGTTATATCAGGATTGTATTTTTCTATAGTAAACTTCACACTGTAGATATCACTCTAATACCAAGACAAACAGTACTTTATAAAAAAATACCTCTATTTTCCTGTAATGATTTTAAAATATTCAAATAACCAAAGAAGTTATTAGCACTCAAGTGTTAGAATAGTACATTCCTTAACATTGTTTTCAGCTTTTAGGGACGATTAACCTATATGTAATGTATAATAAGACCAAATAAATCTTAGATGTTTATTTTAATTTCTAAAGTAATAAATACCTACTGTAAGGGAAACATTTTGATGGCAGTTGCGTGTGCTCAGTTGTGGTTACGATTTTGGGCTGATTTGAGGCTGCACGCACACCAAGGTTTATGTAGAAGAGCTCACAGTAGCCTATGCTACAAGACTGAAAAGTGAAATGATATGACAAAAAAATCGCGAGGCGAAATTGATGTACTTATTGGCGTTTTGCATAAGAGAGTGGAAAGTGATGACGAAAGTCAACTAACAGTGAGACTAGATAGAACTAGAACTAGATAGAATTTGGATCAACCAATAGTGTGCTTGTTGAATTTAATCATATTTTCTCATCAAATGCATTGGGATGAATTCACCTTCGTTCAAGGATCAATGAATAGCCATTATATACATAAACAACATACATGTAGGCAATAGTTATTTGTGTAACTAGTGGGCGAAGTGGCACTTTGATGCACACAAAGTTTCTCGAGTGCAGCAAAGGCAGTTTTCACTCGTGTTACACATGAAAATCCTACAGTTACTATGAATCAAATAATTAGTCTTTCAAACACTGTACAACGCGTTTTAGGTTAGGTTAAATCCAAACATTGAACGAAATGGGAAACGCTGCACCAGCTGATCGTAGTCGTAATGTCTTCAAGTGTTGCCAGCTTATTATTTTCAAGCGTACACGTATTTCGTGCCTAATAAAAGCTCGCTGATTTGTGTTGTTTGGTTGGAATACCGTAGTGCGACAAAAAAAGAGTGCGGCAAAAGTAAAAAAGAGTGTGGCAAAAGTAAGTAAATGCGGCAATTAGCAACTTTCTGTGGTGATTGTAGGACAAAATATGTTTAATGTATATGAAAATACCATTCTTGTTATATGATTAATCAATGTTTTTTTAAAAGAACTAGAGCGAAATAAGGTGTTACCCGAAGACTCTCCGTTTACAAGACTCGTTCCTCCATTTTAGTACTTTGTGGCCCTTGTTGGTTCGATTAGACCCTACACCCAACTACACGGATATGGCGTAGTCTCTAGACCTTGACTAGTTTTTACCATGTATACGATGTGCGTGTTTACCACCACTTATCCCAAAAAGTAGTTCAGACTTGTGATGGTGATTAGATAAGAATTTTGTTCAGAAATATTTGGTAAATATCGAAAGAATTAGGCTAAGATAAATAACATGTTGATTGAAGCCCCTAAATGAATTAATGCTGACCAATACTGTACTTTGACGGTCTAAATCGATCTAAAATAAAAATTCAAAGATTGATAAGACGTAAGTGTGAAAAGTCTACACCCGTGGTATTTTGTACAAAGAAGTCACATATTCTATAAGCCATGAGTAGGTTAAGGAGTAAGATGATATAGACAAATATGATAAATTGTGTTGTGAAATTTAAAAACGTGAGCATTAAAGTTAAAATAGCTTCTTCCCTATTGGGAATTTCTTAAAAGTAAAACAAACAAATCCTTTAATGAGTTAAAAGTGTTAATTTATAGCTTCTCAGGAGGACACAATCCATTACATTTCTTTAAAGAAAAAATAACATTATTATTACTTCTATTGGCGTTAAACATCAATATCTAACCCATTAGTCCTATCTTCGCAGGTTTTCTGTAAATATAATCGTAAAGTATATAAACTAAACTGTCGTGATTATTGTTAAGATATCGGAAAATCCATTGATAATTCCGAAAGGTTTTTGGGTGAGGAAACTCACTCAGTCAAAGTCATTGCCGTAATGTTACAGTTATCCGATGCTAGATAGGGTTTAACGATTTGTTATTTTGAACGGTCATTGTGTTTAAGTTACATAATCCTAGAATCGATCGATTTTAAACTACCCTTAGAAACCGGTATAATTATGTACAATCTTCTTGACTCTAGAGGTAGAGATTTTTTTCGAAATGTATCTCGTCAGGACGAATGGAAAATAATAGGTATATTGTATTGACAAATCAATAATGGAATAAACATAATAACTTGTGTTAGTCAAATTTAAGATTATAATTTGCCAATACACTACTTCTTTTTCAAGTGTTATAATTAACTTATCAATTATTTAAGATGGGGATGCCACTATGTGCGTATTTTAAGCGAAGTATGAATGGAGTGTAGGATGAGTGGCGCGATCTTGTAGTCTTTAGTGACTAAGGCCGACATGTTCCTTACATCGATCTTCACTTCACCCTCCCAAACCCTTTAGCACTTTGCCTGGCAAGTGTAAAAATGTGATAAGACTAGGTCAATACTTAAATACTTTACATAACACTATTGTTTAGTAATATATTCCATCACTAGGGCATAAAAAGGCTCTTTTCGACACGAGCTTTTGAGGGAAATGAGCGAGGGTTGAAAAGACACGATTTTCAGATCTTCACTTGGAGAACTATACAATTAATTAATTCATTAAAGCAGTAATAATTATGAATTGATTATTTCCCATTGGGGAAATTGGAATCATCTATTTGGGGCAAAGTAATAAATAGGGGTTTTCAAATGATTATGTTTTGTCAATTCTAGATATGATTGTTTAATATGTTCTTAGTTTAGTTCAAAAGCTTCAGTGTTTACTCACTCTGCACATTGTATTAAGCTTACAAAAGCATCGGGAATAATTTGTCAGGCTTTCAACAATGCCTTGGGCTTCTGAAACATTTTAATCTCTAAAGCGACATATCTATATATTAATAGGCAAGCATGTTTCTTTAAGACCTTTTTTCTCATCTCGTGTGCATCACAGGTAAAATCTACGCATACTGTTAGAAAGATATTTGCCTGTAGATGTGCAGAATAGGCTACCTTTATAAATTAAAATAGACTAAAAAAAAGCACAAAAATGAATTTAAAATTTAAAGAAAAATAACGTGGACCTTATGGGCTGCCATGTAGGTGACGAAATAACAACGAAATATAAACAGAAAATCAAAGCGAAGAAAATCTAATCACATGATTTGGATAAAAATAGAGAAGTCTGTACATTACATATTTTTGGTCGAGTTCTCGATTACTCGACGACCTCTAGTACAGTATAACATCATAGAAAATTGTTTTTATTTACAATCATTTTATATAGAAGAAAAATGTCATGGCTACAAAAATATTTAGAAGGGGTTGAACAATAATCATCAATTATAATCATTACATTTTCCCATTTTATTTTTTATATGTGAATGTACAATAAAGAGACATCTCTAAGTATGACTTTTTATTATTACCTAGAAGTATGATTTATAAGTTTACTATTGGAATAATTATAATTATTGAAACTACTGGTACTGTATATTGATATATCATCATTTGCAAGCTTTATGAAGCTGGGATATATTTTTATTTTGATGGATGATGGATGAGGACTACTTTTTTCATCAGTATAATGAAAAGTTTACGATGGAGAGTACTAAAGCTATTTTAGAAGTAAACAGGGTGTGGCAAAGGTGTATTGTAAACGTAAGATAGAATAAGCCACTTTTTGGCTACACGAAAGGTTTCTATTTTCAATTATATTGTTTACAAGTATTAATTTTGTTCCTTATAACTCATACGAGACATACCCAACACCTAAGTATTGTACCAATCTCCATTTATCATCACAATATTAAATATTATACAGGGTGTTCCAAAAATTGGGGACATAATTTACGTAATGATTCCTTGGTTCAAAATAAGAATCTTCCTTGGGAGAAAATAAAGAATAACTTTTTTTCAAAATCGCTTCGTTAACCAGACATCCGCCATTTTTCATTTTTTACATTAATATTTTTATCGTTGAATTTGTTAAACCGATCTTTATGAAACGTTGTACATGTATGTTAAGGTAGAACCCATGTTATAAAAAAATCATCTTGATTCAACTTAAAAATTTTATAATGGCCATTTTAATCTTTTATACTTAAATTACTAAAAAGTGGCTGAAATTATGAAAAATGTCTCAAGGACTTTTATTTAGCATTTTTAATTCCCTATCAAACTATACCACGTTCAAAAAATCGAATAAGAAATAGCTGGAATATTACGAATTTTAGTTGTAAAATGGGGTAGAATAAGGCAGAATGGCAGAAGTTAATCGAGTTTGCCTCATTTTACATTTAGTTGAGTCAAGTTGTTTTTTTTTTTTTTTAACATGGGTCTTTTCTACCTTAACATAGATACATACAAAATTTCATAAAGATTGGTTGAAAGAAATTTAAAGCTAAAAATGTTTATGTAAAAATACAAAATAGCAGATATATGGTTAGCAAAGCGATTTTGGAAAAAGTTTTAATTTGATTTTTCTCTTCGTTTTGACCCAAGGAATCACTACGTAAAATATGTCTCCACCTTTTTTGAACAGTACATTTTTTTTTTCATGCAAATCCATCGTAAACCCCATCACCACAACCGTAATCCCAAAACATTCCAAAATGTTTGAAATTCTCACTTGATACACATCGGCGTCATCCATGTTTCCCTCCGTATACTTGAATTCCTCCATAGTTTGAATTGGAAGTTCAAGTATAGAATTTCGATGGTTCTACTCTTTCCACGTCAGTGATGTCAGTTTAAAATCACAGAAGCGTTAGGCAATTGAAAAACTCCGTTATTATTCATCCGATCACAATTATTTTCCTCCTGTCTTCTTTGAAGTGCTGCAACAACGTCCTATAAACATTAAGATTACGTTAAAAGTTAACAGTTAGAAAGTTTAAGAAGGCTAAAATCGCTCAAATATAATCATTAAGTCTGCTAGTACACTAAATCTTTGTCACTTTTTAGTCGTGTTTTCTGATTAGAAATCATCTTGTAATCTAACCAAAGTCTTATTTAATCTTAAATAATAATATTTATTTTTGGATTTGTTGACGTTGCACTGTAAAAATGTGCAAAAAGAGTATTTACTACTTGTTATTAAACTTATTACAATGATCTCTTTGTTTTATTGCATCCTCGCATGTAATACGGACTTTTTCAATTATTTCGATCTTAAATAACGACAAATACGACAATTTAAGTTACTTTTAATATTTAAAAATTAGATTTTACCTTCTAACAAATTATTGTATATTTATTTATTTAAACGTGCATATATAGCCTAAGTAGGCCTATAAGAATTGCCAAAATTTAATTTGGAAAATCAAACAAATAAAAACACAGATAAATTTTATCGTTTACTCTTTTTTTAATGGCATGATTTAATCTACATAGAGTTTTTACAAAAGTTTCTCCATGAAGTCTAGACAGTGATGGCGACATGAAGCTGTCAAAGCAATGTTGTAAAGACCTGAGCCTGAGGTAAAGTAAACATCGTCCTGTAAACGACCTTCTAACATCACATCCGGTGTTCCTGCCCTGATTACAACAGGCAAGCTGAGTAAAACCTTGCTCTATTAATGCCTAGTAATGGAAAAGAGTGGTCCTAAAACAGTTTTGTATATGCTTTAGAAGCTTTGTGACGTTTTGTAAAGTTTCCAAGCGTTAAGTTTTGAATTTGTAAGTCATGTAATTAAGTACTGATTTTAATTTGCATGCAGTTAAAAGATACTGTTTAACCTCTTCTAATTTTCGACTACGATTAAGGAAATTTTAGAAAACGAAAAAATAGATTAATCATATCATACTAATATTATAAATGTGAAAATTTGTGTGTTTGTATGTATGTATATATTTATGTTTTTTGTTTGAAGTTCAATCAAGCATTAACTACTGGGCGGATTGGATTGAAATTTGGTATGATGATAGCTCACATTCCCGATTAAAATATAGACGTATTCTTATCTCAAAGTCCTTTCGGGCTCCGCCCCAGTCGCTTTAGAGTTTCCCATGTTAACCTTATGAGTATTCATATTTTTAAAAGAAATAAAATAATTTTGCCAATGTTGTTTCAACCACACAAGTTGGTTCTATGATATTTAATAGCATTAACAGGTTATAAGGTTTACCAACAGGGTACATCACTATCAATTCTTTTTGCATTTATTACAACAGCTAATTTAAACCATGCAGCAACAAAAAGCTGTGAGAACTTTACTTTTTTCTATTGTTTAGGCGCAGTGGTAGAACATTATGGCCATGGTAGATGTGCTACACTATGGTATACCGTATATTAAGGTAAACCAAATTTTCTTAAACGTTAACGTTTGTCGTAGTTAACAATTGTCCTCTCCCATTGCAAACGCAAATCACGAGTATAACTGTAATAAGCATTTTATACTTATACGCCAACCCCGTACGAAGGAAGGGTACTCTGTTAGTGTTTTTTTTTTTTTATATAACACACCAAGAAAACTCGAAGCATTTCCTAGAATAGTAATATTTTTAATAAAAAAAATATTGATGAAGACGAGCATTGTGAACGATGGGGACAGCATAGCGAAATTCCGGGTGGCTCAACATCGTTTAATTTACAAACTGTTAAGAAAATTTATTTTATGTTACATTGATTAAAAATTTAATTTTATGGGTAAAATTTTATCAGAGAGATTAAACTTATGGCACAACGTTTGCTCAGTGACAACAATTATTGCAAGCTTTTCTTGAAGGCTAATATGTATAATATAGAGAATTATTATGTAAAATATAAGTAGTTAATTAACATGCAATCGCTGTACTTATTTACAATTGCTCGCTAAATGGAGGAAAAAATTTAAATACTTGTCAGATAAATTGGATAGTTACATGTTTATAAATTTTAATGAAGGCCTTGTTGTAAGTTAACCACGTTAATGAGAATATTAAATAAACAAGATAAAAAGTTTGATATCCAATTCAACATAATGTCATTTGTAATGATAACAGAAGTGCAGTATTAAATCAAAACTATAATTAATTCTCATATCCATCGCGAATAAAATTACTATATTAAATAATTCCCGGTCAACTGACTTATCGACAAAATGTCATGTCAGTCATTGGTGTCAGAATCAATTGTGGATATTTATATGCTCACTGTGGAGTCGTTGGAATCACAGAATCACTGTGGATGCGATACTCCCTGGTGTTGATTAACGTCCGCACGAATGAGTACTACGACTACTCGCAGTGCTGTCCTGATAGTTAGACCAATTCGTATATACCAAGGCAAAAAAATGTGGTTCGGATTCCACTATAAACTGTAGGTCCCTTAGTTGCCATTAGCTGTATGGGCTAATTAACAGCTGTTTCTACGGAATATGTCGGCCTTAGTCACTAGACTACAAGATCGCGCCACTCATCTCCATTCATACTTGGCTTAAAATACCTACTTGTATGGTCACCATTTCAATGGAAAGTATAAATTTTGTGGCCCCTAGCTATCGGATAGTTTCTGTTAACATGTTCATAAGCTATTAAATTACCATTTTAAACTTAAGCTTATAGTCTAAACCAAACAACAATGCAATCAACAACACTTTCATGACATTATGTTTTCACTCTTTCGATGAAACACTGTTTACCGAGTAGATAAAGTTTATCTAACGAAAGTGTTTACAAACTTCCCGTGATCCTTCATCATTAATTATTTCCGTAGGATGGAAGACGATCTACTCCCTGATAACAAATGTTGAATATTTATAACTACAAGAGAAGGCCGTGTAAAAGAAAAGTACAAACATGTTATACCGTTATACGCAAGAATATGAATCTTGCAGTGATACATGCGTGGTTACTTTTTAGTTATGGTACTAAATCTGTAATTTTAGTTCGGGTAGGTCTACTTAAAAACCAATTTAAGCTGTTTGAGAAGTTTGGTTGGGGGTTGGTTGGGTAAGGTTAGGTTAGAACAGTCATCCCACCTAACCTAACCAACTAAACTTCTCTAACAGGTTTTAATAAGTTATAGAAGTGTAATTGGAAAAAGTAGAGTTGTGGGCACGTAACGGATTTTGACCAGTTGTTTTATGCTTGACCATTCATCAGATGTCTTTTAAATAATCATAGAAATAAATTATTTCTTGTTCAGGTTAGCCGATTGAAAACACTCGCATTAAAAATAGATAAACATATTAGTCATCAACGTCAAACATAACTGAACATTTAATGAACATCAAAACATCAGATTGTACGATAAGATGAGAGCAGAAAGTCAATGGCTTATAACGGACCCAGTGGTTATGTTTGGTAAGAGGTTTTTCGTAGGATGTTTGAAATTTGAAGAATTCTAAATAACGTAATATTGCTATACATATTATTTTGCTGGTTCAAAGTGTGGTTTGAAATAACTAACATGAACATGGCGTGTAACCCAAAGTTATAAGGATATTCAATTTCTTTGGTTAGTTAGAAGGGTTAGTTAGTATTTGTACACCGGGTTTTTCGTCGTCAATTTTTACTAGCCAAAATGTTGCAAGGGTTTTTTACTGATAAATTGAATATAAACACATCAACCCAAAATAATGGTACTCAATTGTTTTTTAGCATGTTTCTTTCAAACATTTTTTCTTAGCTCGTGTGAATTGCAGGGGAAATCTACGCAAAGAAAGATATTCCCCTGTAGATGTGGAGAAACCCTTAATAAAATTAAAATAGGCCCAAAAATAATCACGAAAATGGGTTAAAAATTATTAAAAATTAACATGGGCCTTATGGGTTGCCATGCTGGTGACGAAATAACAACGAAATGTGAATTGAAAATCAAAAGAAATGGAAGAAATTCCAATCGCATGTTTTATTTACAGGGTGGGGGTTAAAATGAGAAGTCTGTACATTATATATTTTTGGTCGAGTTTTCAACCACTGGACGACCTCTAGTATCTATTAAACCAGTAGTCCAAATGAAAATAGCAGCGCAGGTTTTAAAATAAATTTAATCAAAGCAGTTCCATAATATATATTATTATATTATTAATTGATAAATGGGCTATTTTGTAGGAGGAATTAAACAATTCACTCGTAGTTTACAATGAAAACTGTAAATGTACAATATTTCAATACTTAAGCCATGAAGTAGATTCATCTATGCTTGAGCTCTGTTAGATCTAGCAAAACCCCTTGCGGCTAAATAAACAACTAGAGCACTTAGTAAAAACTAGCCGATGTCAGTGTGTGGCAAGCTAGTAGCATCACCTGTGACCTCAATAACTCAACCTTGGGGTACTGAAGTATTTTGTGTGATTCAAACAATTGTAGAGTGTTTTTATTTCTCTTTCATGTCTTGTCTTTCGTGTGATAAAATCTGAGGTAAATCTGATGGCAAGCTATTGCTTTGTATAACCGTTTATAATAGTTGATGAATAAGTTTAAGAAGCAACCATGGATTTCTCTAAGGAATCATTTTATTTTTCCTTTTCTTAATTTATACTAGGATTATCACTCATTTCATTTGGAATTAGTCTGTATGGCTCATCTAAATTAGAAAATATAGATAAAATATTTAAAGAACAAAAGAATACAATTAGAATGATAAAGAACCTACATCCAGATACATCATGCAGGGAACATTTTAAAATGTTAAACATATTAACAGTTTATGGTCAATTTATTTTGGACACTATTATGATATTTTTAAACAATAAGAAGGATACAACACTAGAACTAGAAATACACTATTACACGAAAAAAGAATGAAATCATACCCACTCACCATAGACTTAAATTTTACACAAAGAAGCCGTCTTACAAAAGAGCAAGTTATTTCAGAAAATTATCACAAGAATTAAAGTGTCAAGTAAACCGTTCCAAATTTA